GGGACTACTGCTACTCATCTCATACTCTTTTGGTTTTAGTTTAACTCTCTAAAAATTTTGCTAAGGTATAAATCTTATCTCAAAATTTATAAAACTAATGTGTAAACTTCCTGTACCTCAAGATTTGTAAGAATACTTGGTATGGTTAAAACCCTATAAAATCTGTAACAAAACAATCTAACACCAGGATTGATAGTTAAAAATCTATACATAGTTAATCTTAAAGGGAACGTGTGGCTTGCTGCTACCTGAGCTGCTTTCCCCCCAACTGGGATGGAGGTAGCCACTTGACTGACAATCATCTTTGCTAGGGTTGGAAAGGATGGGCTTTATTTACCAAGTGACCTCACTCCTGTCTTGATAAAAGTGGCCACAGGACATGAGAGAGGCAGCCACTCTCCTGGATTCCTCCCTCCCAATAAATCTCATGAATGAGTTTTGGGTAAAGACTTTCACTAGAGTGGAAAGGAGAAGAGAAGTAACAAGTTTTGCAGGAGCAGAATTGCTACATCTCTCCATATAAACCCCTATTTACAGGGTGGAACAGAGCTGAGCTGTAACAGCTCTCTTGGAGAGGAACAGGATTGCTACATTCCTGCTAGGAAACCATCCCCCACCAGAACAGAGCTATAGGTATAGCCTGGCTTCCAATAGCCAGGAAACCTTTCTCTTCAGAGCTGTAGGCATACCCTAGCTTTTGACAGCCAGGATACCTTTCCCTCCAGAGCTGTAACATTTACAATTGTTGTGTACACACACACACACACACACACACACACACACACACACACACACACACCAGAACCATTAGGAGTCATTTCATCTTCCAATATGGGATCTGTGGATAAAACTCAGGTCATCATTTCTCTCCAATTATCTTGCCTTTACAGTTGCACTGAACCAATCTCCCAGGTCTTGGAAAACTTTTATAAACAGTAAGCATTGACTATCTCCCCACTATTATTTGGGAAGAATCTGAAGAGGAAAATTAAGGGAGAAGTATTGGCAATGGATGCTAACTCACAGAAATAGAATGGTTGTCCAGATATATCTATTATTATCAGATAATACCAACTGGGAAATGTCCATTAAACAGCAGTGACAAGGTCATAGAATCAGTTACTAGTGAAGTGTTTAGATAGATATCTGATATGGATGGACGTGCTCTGGCCTGGCTCTTGGCTGAGTGAGACTAGTCTTGACTGAGCTGACTTAGCTCTTCCCCATACATCCTCACACACCTCTCATAGACTTAGAGGTGAAGACACCAGTGTGTGAGCCAGGATGTTTTGATTAGAAGCCAAATCTTCCGATATCAGCTCTTGCCTCCCATCTTGTTTGAGACAGTCTCTGGTTTTCATCATTGTAAATGCCAGGATGCTTGGCCCTCAAGTTTCTGGGCATTCTCCTGTCTTTGCTTCCCATCTCACCATAGGAGCATTGGGATTGCAAGTGTGTACTACCTTGTCTGATTTTATGTGGGTCCTGGTAATTCAAACACATCCTCATGTTTACAAGGCAAGCACAGTAGACAGCAGAGAAGAGGCTGGGCTCATATTAGGACATTGTTTGTGCACTGGAGAAGTTAAAGTGTAGAACGTAGAACATCATGGGCTTACTAAGAATACCAGTAAAGCAGTAAATCTTCCCTAGGAACAACGAGATCGCTCGGTAGGTAAAGGAGCTTGCCATCAAGTCTGAGGACTTGAGTTTGATCCCCAGGACCCATATGGTGTAAGAAGAGAACTGGTTGCCACAAGTTTTCCTCTGATTTCTGCATGCCCACTGTGATACAAGTGTACCCACATAAGCACACACACCCACGGAGAGTGGGGGAGGGAGAGTCAGGCAGACAGGCAGAGAGACAGAGAGAGACAGAGACAACAACTCACATGCAAGCTGCACACAAAGTAAATGGAAAACATTTCCCCACCATTTCCCTTTTTCCAAGAGCTTTAGGTGCAGAGCCCATGGTCTCAATCACTGCATGCTATTATTCTAGCATAGTAAACAAACAGAACCAGTGAGGTTATACAAGAGGTAGGAATAAGCTGTTTAAGTCAACAAACACCTATGTTTATTTCTCCTATAAAGAATAACAAAGTAAAAGAAAATTCTGTTCTAGGAACTATTTTTCTTGAACTATCTGAGACTAAATTGCCAAAATGATAGGTATAAGCCCTTAACATTCCTACAAACTAGTTGTATCAATTACTTACCTTGTAACTGCAACAAAATTGCCTGACCAAAAAAAAAGTTTCACAAGCACATGAAAGCAGGTTGGAGTCTTTAAAGCAAGGGCCTGTCTATGAGTTACTTTTCTATTGCTGTGATAAACACTATGGCCAAGGAAATGTATAGAAGAAAGAGTTTGTTTAGGTTCATGGTACCAGATGGGTTAGAGCCCATTATAAGAGGGAAGCATGGTAGCAAACAGTAGGAGCAGGAAGCTGAGAGCTGACATCTTCAAATGTAAGCATGAAGCCCAAAGAGGGAACTGAAAATGATATGAAGCTTACTTTCTTAAAGTCCACCTCTAGTAACTATAGCGGAAGTTTTCCTGGTCCCACCCAACTCCCATGGTCCCGCAGTCTCTCAGCTGCTCAGACCCAAATGAACACACAGAGGCTTAATATTAATTGAAACTGCTCAGCCATTAGCTCAGGCTAACTACTGACTGTCTCTTACACTTAAACTCAGCCCATTTCTGGTAATCTATATCTCACCACATTTTCCGTGGCTTTACCTGTGTGCCATTACATGCTGCTCCCTGGACAGTGGGCTGGCATCTCCTTCTCAGTTCTGTTTTTCCTTCCCAGAATTCTCCTTGTCTGCTTATTCTGCCTATACTTCCTGCGTGGCTACTGGCCAATAAGCATTTTATTTATCAACTAATCAGAGCAGCATATTCACAGCATACAGAACATCCCTCAGCAAGTGGCACACTTCCTCCAGTAAGGATGCATCACCTACTGCTCCTCAAACATCACCAACAACTGGCAACGTATTCAAAAGCCCAATATTTTGAGGAATCGTTCCCATTCAACCCATTACAGGCTGCGATGAGGACTCTGGTGTAAATGGGCTCTTGAGATGACTCACAGGAGCGTACGTGTGAGGAAAAACTGGACAGGGAAGGAGGGAAAGGCTGATAAAGATGTGAAGCTCTACCCCTCCCTCATAATCTACAGGGAGTTAATGATAGCTCAGGAAGATATGTTTTCTTCGGTGATGTAGCCTACTGGTAAGTGGTCCATGTTGCTGTAAATGACCCCTTATCTTTACTACCCATATACAACATTAATTAACTCATACACCCAAAAAGACAGGAAAGTAGAAGGGGAACTGGTTGGGAAGAGAGAAGGGATCAGTAGGACTGAGGTAAATAAAGTCAAAATGTATTAAACATGTGCATAAGATGCCATAATGAAACTCATTATTATATACAATTAGTATAAGCTAATAAAATGCATAAATAAATTAACTGAACAACAAAATAATTAAACAACAAAAATAATAAATTTTGACTGAGTTTATCAACCCATCCTGTTGTGTATTTATTTTTTTCTGAAATGAAAATTTCGTCCAGGGAAAAACTCATTAAGATTCAGAAGTAAATGAGGCTTATCAGACTCAATAAGTAAACAAAACTCACAAGTTTCAAGAAGTTCCTGAAACTTAGAAGACTCATAAGCTCCCAATTCCCAGGTTATGTAAGTAACAGGATTATAAGGAATCATAAGGGAACTTCAGGGCTGTAGCTTTCTTGTATCAGAGATGCACCAGTCTTCAACCAAGACTCGGTGATGGAGCTGTTTTTGAATCACCTGTGTGTATGTAAGCAAGTCCTCATTCATGCTCTTGTAAGTATCCCTAGAAATTCACTGGTTCACTAAGCTAGACTGGAGTGGAATCATTCCTTTGGTCTCCCTTTGGTGCCACATCTGGAGTAGATAGTTGTTCCTTCACAATTCTCTAGGAAAAGTCAACACCATTGACATCTCAATTTAGTAATTAACTGTAGTATGCTGCAAATAAAAATGTTTGCTAAAAATTTAGTCATTAATCTACAATCTACACAAGGAGGACCTAAAGAGGGACAAATGGATCACCCTGGGAAAGAGAAATGGATGAGATCTCCATGAGTAAACTGGGGATAAGGGGTGGGAAATGGAGGGTAGGGGATAGGGGATGAGAACATAAGAGAACACAATGGTCAAGCTGGAACAGATATGGAGTGGAAGAGCAATGAAAGAGATGCCATGATAGAGGGAGACACCATGGGAATAGGGAGAAACCAGGTGCTAGAGCAGTTCCCAGAAATCCACAAGGATGACCCCACCTTAAACTACTAGCAGTAGTGGAGAGGGTGCCTGAACTGGCTTACCCTAGTAATCAGATATGTGAATACCCTAACTGTCATCATAGAGCCTTCATCCAGTAACTGATGGAAACAGAAGCAGAGATCCACAGCCAAACACCAGGCCAAGCTCCAAGAGTCCGGTCAAAGAGAGAGAAGAGGGATTCTATGAACAAGGGCCATCAAGATCATAATGGGAAAACCTACAGAGACAACCAAACTAGTGGGAACTCATGAAATTTAGATCACCAGCTGCGGAGCCTGCATAGGACTGGACTAGGCCCTCTGCATAACTGAGACAGTTGTGTAGCTTGATCTTCTTAAGGGGCTCCCTAGAAGTAGGATCAGAATCCATCCCTGGTGCATGAGCAGGCCTTTTGTAGCCCACTTCTATGATGGGACACATCTCACAGTCCTGAGGCAGGGTAAGGGGTTTGGACCTGCCTCTACTAAATGTACCTCCCCATGGGAGGCCTTACCTTCTTATAGGAGAGAATGGGGGGTGGGCTAGGAGGGGGAGTCTGGAGGGGCAGGAGGAGGTAAGAGGGGGATCTTTGGTATGTAAAATGAATTTTTAAAATTTCTTAATAAAAAAATTAGTCATTAGCATCACTATAAAAATTCTCATTTTCAGTAGTAGTTGTTGATAAAACTAGTAATTGGTGTTTATTTTATCATCATAAATCAGGGGATTTGGTGGTGACAATGAAGTAGAAATAGACAGTCCCACAAGAACTAGGGAGTTGAACATATCTATCTTAGATTGGTGTTATCACATCCTTATGTTCCATGACAAGCTCAATGAACACCCAGAATCCTGCATGAGTGTACAAGGTTACCACAGTCTTCATCTTTGAATTTATTCACAATCTGAATTGGTTTCTGGTCCAGTGGGATGCAGCACCATAACAGACATCAAGCTCCACTTACAGTCTCATCTCTTGACACAACCTTTAGAAGGATTGGTTTTTCTGGTTGAAGAAGTCCTTGCTTGCCTATTTTTAAAGGGATCTGCAACAGTTCCACAAGCACAAGAAGTAGTCAGTGAAATGACACCAACCACAAATACAAAGAGACATACAAATGCCAAGGGTGCTTTACAAGCACACAAAAACTACTTTTACCTCCTGTGCCCTTTCTTAGGTGTTATCTACCTTTTTGGAGACAGGGTGTCTCACTAGCCTGGAACTCACAAATTATATAGTCTAGCTGCTTAGTAAGCCCTGGGAATCTGCTGGTCTGTCTCCTCAGTGCTGGGATTACAAGTGCATGCCAACACACCTGGTTGGTAATAGGTGGGTTGGTTGATTGGTTGGTTGGTTGGTTGGTTGGTTGGTTGGTTGGTTGGTTGGTGGTTGCTGGCTGGGTTTTGTTTGGCTGGTTTGTTTGCTTGCTTGCTTGCTTGTTTTGTTTGCTTTGTTTTGCATGGGTTATGGGAACTAAGTTCAAGTCCACATGCTTTCAAGGCAAGAACCTTACTGACAGATCTATCTTCTGAAGCCCCTGAAGTTAGACAATCTTTGTACTTAGGTCTTTATAAAGCAAAAGATACAAGTCTAAAACTGAAATACTTAAACTCTCCAATAGGCATTGCAAAGAAATTCCTTAAACAAATAGATCAATATACTTTTTTGCAAAACTCCCAAAAAAATATAACTTACTGAAAAAGCACACTCACCTGAGTTTCCTTGCAAGGCTGGAAGGAGAAGTTCTGCAGGACTCTGACAAGAGCAAGTTTCATGTTCATGAGCGCAAACCTCATGCCAATGCAGTTTCTGGGTCCATCCCCAAAGGGCAGGTATGTGTAAGGATTAATGCTACCCTGATTTTTCTTGCTGAACCTGGTTCCACAGGAATAGATGAAGACAAGTTAATAAAGGCTAAGAATCCACAACAGTCACTTGCTTGGTATTTTTTAGATACTCATAAGCAGTAGTAAACAGAAAGCTTTCCTGAGCCAGTTGTGGAAATTCTGGTGTGACTTTTAAAGTGTCTTACTTGTATGCAATGCATTGTGATTATTTTCCCTCCCACATTAACTTCCTGTATACCCTCCCCAACTCTATTCACTGTCTTCTTCACAACTTGTCTCCCTCCTATTTTCATGTCCTTTTTGTGTGAGTCTTTCACAGGTAGTCACAGACATTGTTCATGACAGCAAAGGCCATGTTCTAACCAGAAGACACCATTGGCACACTTCCTCTACTCTTTAGCTCCTACAGTCTTTCCACCCCCTCTTCTGTGATGTTCTCAGGCCTTAGAGTGGGTGATATGCCATAGGAATTATACAAGTTACAAGTGTGGGTGATAGGCCATAGGAATTATACAAGTTCAAAGTCTTCCCTCTCGCTTTACCATGGAGGAGCTTAGTCATATTGAGATGAAGTGAATGCTGTCTAAAACAAACATTCATCTTTAAATATGATCTTTGCATTTAGTATGATGTGTTCATTCTCTGAGACATAAGAAATGAGACCAATTGAAGAAAAGTATGTTATTGGCTGAACTAACACTCATTAAAGCAGGAGGATAAAATTCTTACCACTACTGAAATTGTTTCCCTTGCACTGTCTTCTCTCTGTTATTTTTTTTCTCTTCTCCATTATTATTTTTTCTACTGCTTACCTTCCCTTTCTCCCCACTTCTTTTCATTTCTCACTCTGTTTCTTCCAGCTTCCCATCCTCCCTTCCTCCACCCTTCCCTTCCTCTTTCCCCTCCCTCTCTTCTTTCTTTCTTCCTCTTCCTTCTCCTTCCTTCTGTCCCTTCTAGCCTCCCTTTTTCTTCCCCTCTTATTCCTTCTTTTTCTTCTTGCTCTTCCCATCCTTCTTACTGAATAGTTTAAGTCAGATGATTTACAAAGACATACAATGCTACTCTAATATATTATCATTAATTTATTTCTCTATGTGTTCCTTTGAGTATAAAAATCTAGGAGGATAGACAACTTTCATTCAAATAATATAACATGTAAATGATACTTAAGAAAAATTTTTGTTTATAGAAAAGTGGCAATTACAATATGACTATGTGTTTTAAGCTATTTTTTAATATTTTGGAAAAATTCTAATGTATATAAGACTATTATATTTCCAAAATCATAATGATGGTTTGTGGAGGTGTGTGAATAAATACCACACATGGACAAATGGTTACTGGTCACATAGAATTCCATTGAGAGTGCTGTGGATGTTGATTTGTATACAGTCCCCCTGTGAATTTGTCAAATTTTCTCTGTTGTAGACATTTATCAACATATTGCTTTATTAGTGTTTGGAGTAGTCCCTCATACACAGTAAACACAGGCTATCTGTCTCATTATTAAATAAATATAACAACAGTTTGGTCAATCATCTGTGTGTGACAAAACTATAGGAGGTGTAATTACTGAGACTGGAAGGAACACAAAAGCCATCTGGTCCGGAAGACAGAAAAACTGATGAGCTCTGGTTAAGTTCTTCAAAGACTGTACATAGACTTAATGATGTCTAAATGGCACATCATGAACAACAACGTAAGGTACCAGAAATCAGGAGGTGTATAATTAGAAGCAATGAATGTCTAAATCCTAGTCCTTTCAGCTTGCCAACCTCTGCCTTAAAAACACCATTCTTCATTTTGCTTACCAAGAAAACAATTAGACTATAGAACTATGACTGAAGCCTGACCTTGCCTCTGGGTTTCCAGAAGAGACCACCTGAGCCACATGTAAAAGAAGGGTGTTTAGGGTCTCAGACTCCTAGACAGCAGGCAACATGGCTTTGGAAAAATCACATAGGGTAAGAAAGTGGCCAGGACAACAGCCAGAGGCAATAATGGAAGGACCTGTGGTCTCCTCTGTCCTCAGCAGGGCTGCTCAAATGACAAGGCCCTCAGATGACACCATTACAGCCACAGTGAAGGACCCAGAAGACAAAGTGTAGTCAAATGGAAAATGTAAATATTCTCTAAAGGTGAGGGGAGCAGCTAAAGGGAACAGCAAGAAAAACCTAGGCATGAAAAGTCTAATGCATAAAATGAGATAGTGTGGAGGACATTGTGACAGATGCTACTCTTGTCTTAAAAGTTTGAATAGGTAGATAGGTAGATAGATAGATACGTAGACACAGAGACAGACTGCTCTTGCTACTTATGTGACTTCAACACCAAGAGACAGCACATCATGCTTGGGACTAGTCCAGTTCTGGGTAGTTTAACTTTCCCATATCCCTGTACCTTTCGGGGTGGAACTCCTCAGGCTCTGGCCAATGCTTTGGGTCTCTGTGAAGAGCAAAGGTTGGTACCATCATCACAGTCCCTTTGGGAATGAGCACCCCATTGATTTCAACATCTTTCTTACAGACCCTCTCAAGTCTTCCAGCAATTGGATATAATCTGAGAGTTTCATCCACTACCATGTCCAGATACTCCATCTGGACCAGGGTATCATAGGTGGCAGGTGCCTGCAAAGAGAGAGAGAGAGATTTTCATAAATTAAGATTTTGAACTAACTTTCATCTGTAGAGAACTACTAAGGGGTTACACTACCAAAGAAAAACTCCTGTTGATGAAAGACCTTAGCATTTAAAATGCATTTTAATAACTGATACTTGAACATGCTCAATGCATCTGTAAGAAATGTAGGATAATTATGAAATATGGAGACTTTGTGACAATCCCAAACCCAGGACCTAAAATCCTCAGCATTACTATATACTACTTTTTCTTTCTTATGTAGGGAATCATAACTAACAGATCATGATAATTAGAGTCAACAACTTGACACACTTAGAGTTACCTTTTCACAGAAAGGGCACACACATGTACTTGAAGGTATATAAACATAGGTAGAAGAAAAATCCTTATTGAACTTACTTGAAAATATCCCATGTGACCATTCTTTTAATTATATATAAAATTTGGAAGCACTAATAGGATAAAATTTTAAATGATCTGAGGAGATACTGGTCTCTTCTATATTAAAGGTGACAAAAGACAGATACAGTCATTGCCATCAAAATGCTCAGTTCCAACCCTGGTAAAAGTCACAATGAAAACAGGATCCATCACTCAGCCACATTCTCTATTGCTGGTCCAGCCCACTGGTTGTTCCCTCAGGGTTTGCCTGTGAGCTCTGAAGAGAACGATAAGCCAGACAGACAGCCCCACAGACCACATAACCTCACACCCCAAGTCTCCAGTTTGGGTAGAGTTGTAAAGACCAATGTGAGAAACGTTTGACTATTTTATGGGACTTTTAGACAAACCGTAACGCACGAAAGGTTAAGAGTTTGACTCAGGCCGCCTATGAGTGGAGAGAGATGTGTGGGACAGAACTAAATTAATCTGCCTTGCCCAGTCCAGCCAAGGCCAGTCACACTCAGCCAACAGCAGGCAACAGCACACCCCATAACATCAGCAGAGCTGACTACTGAGACACTGGACTAACCAAAGCTATCTTCCATGCCACTGTGATTTGGTGGTTGTTTCTTGATAGTTTTTGATGACATAGAATGGATAAAGCTGTACCAACATTCATGAACAAAGACATTGTTTTCATAAAAGCAGTAAGTAGCCAATGCCTGTTTCCTATTCATTTCTCTTTTTAGAACCTTAAGTAAAGGTGGTGAAGGAATCAATGCTTATCACTTCATTGAAAAAAACTCACTGATAAGGAGTCATTCATGTCAATGTGTCTCCTCTTCCCTTCCTCCCTCTCCAGGTCCCGTCCCCTCACCTTATTGGGCAGAGCTGCATCAATTTCATCCTGCAGTTTCTTCTGGACGTCAGGGTGAGTGGCCAGTAAATACAAAGCAAAGGAAAGAGCGCTGCTGGTGGTCTCATAGCCAGCAAAAATAAAAATAATAGACTGAGCCACAATCTCCAGATCGGATAAAGCTAATGGGAAAGGAAATACATTTTATTTTATTTCATTTGTGTGTGTGTGTGTGTGTGAGAGAGAGAGAGAGAGAGAGAGAGAGAGAGAGAGAGAGAGAGAGAGAGAGAGGAGTGGGGAGTATGCCATGGCATTCTTGTGAGGGTCAGAGGGCAATTTGCAGGAGTGATTTTTCTCCTTGCAACATTTGGGTCCTCGGGTTTGAACTCAGGTCTTTGGCTTGGTAGCAAGTACCTTTATCTGTTGATCTATATTGCTGGCCCAATAGACACATTTTAGGTAAAGGAGATCAGTATTTTTTTAAAAAAAAAAAATTATGATTTGTGGCACAGGAGACCACTTCCTAAATATAACACCAGTAGCACAGACACTGCAAGGAACAATTAATAAATGGAACCTTCTTAAACTGAGAAACTTTTGTAAGGCAAAGGACACGGTCAGTAAGACAAAACAACAGCCTACATAATAGAAAAAGATCTTCACCAACCTCACATCTGACAGAGGGCTGATCTCCAAAACATATAAAGAACTCAAGAAACTAAATATCAAAATACAAAAAAATCCAATTTAAAAAAAATGGATTGCAGAGCTAAACAGACAATTCTCAACAAAAGAATCTCAAATGGCTGAAAGACTTTTAAGGAATTGCTCAACATCCTTAGTCCTCGGGGAAATGCAAACCAAAACAACACTGAGATACCATCTTACACCTGTCAAAATGGCTAAGATCAAAAACACTGAAAACAGCTTATGTTGGAGAGGATGTGGAGCAAGGGAAACACTCCTCCACTGTTGATGGGAGTTCAAACTTGTACAGGCACTTTGGAATCAATATGACAGTTTCTCAGCCAGAAGATCAGGGTGTTTGTGAGATTGTGTCTCCTAGTTATGTCAGAAGCTATACCCATAAAGTCTCAACAACATGACTGCCCAAACACGAGCTGAACAAGGATGACACCAACAGATATGCCAAGGTGGATGGGGAGAGTTCATGAGACCTCAACCCTACACAGAGAATGACAGGCAACTAAGGAATGCTAGGAGGGGGAGAAATAGTCTTCTCCAGGGAAGAGCACAGTTATTCGGTACCAAATTGCCATCCCTGAAGGCATACATATGCGTAACGTCATACAGACTTAGCAGATTATATTTAGGAACATTTATGTATATACAATTGTGCATTCAATAACAATGAAAAAAGAGAACCTGAAGTCGAAAGAGAGCATGGAGGGGTATATGTAAGGGTTTGGAGAAAGGGAAAGGATAAATCTTGTGATTATATGTATTATGATCTCAAAAGAAAGAGCTCAGATGCCCATATGAAAGGCTTATTCAATGCACATGCCTGAAAGAACCTGAGTGTCAAAATAAGTAATGATAGAATTAATGCATGGGATTGTGCAGGAGAAGGTGAGGAGCAGGAGCAGGAGAAAAACAAAGGGGAGAGAGGAGGAAGAAGAAGAGTAGGAGGGGAGAGAAGGAGGAAGAATTGTGGAGAATGAAGGAAGGGAAGGAAGAGGAAGACGGAGGGCAAAAAGGAGGAAAAAGAAAAAATAAAGCAGAAAACAGACGGCTTGCCCCTCTCTTACATAGAACATAGCTCCTGACTGCCTAGGATGGACGGCATTAGAAAGCCATCGTTCTTCAACCATTGCAGCAACAGCTTCCTCAAAAGCCACCCATGATGGGAAAATAAGTAGGTGAAAAGCTAGTAAGAGTAGTGGGGTATGTGCTTAGTCCCAAGGCTTTCTCCACATGTTCCTTATCAACTATACAGGAAATCAAAGCTTGGCTGTAAATCAAAAGCTGGACAAGCATTCATCCCAGGTTTCCAGTGACCATCACCACTGTGGGGCTGTTCCTCTCACTGGGTGTCTATATGAAAATCTCCAGGCAAAGCTTTTGACTCAGTGGATCTAGATGAGGCCCAGTTGGTATCTGTTCTGTAGTACCAGATCCAGAGACCACTGGTGATCTCCAATCCTGAATTCCGTGCTTATGGCTCCCCTTCAGGCTTTGAACACAGTAATAATCCTGTGCTTCTAGAAAGTTTGTTTGTATATGTTATATGTATATGTATATGGCTGCTGTATATAATGTCTACATCTGTGGGTTGGGGTGGAATTTTTTTTAAGGGGTTGGAATTGTTTGTTTGAAATTTGGAGACATAGTCATCTACTTGAAAATCCTTCTGAATATTTCCAGGACAAACTCCTCACTCTGAGGTTCCCCATCAGTAAACATGAAACATCCTTACTTACCTTTATGAGACTCCTTGATGTTGGAACTCTGGGAGTTTATCATCAGCTGAAGAAAATCCACTCTTTGCTGAAAGAAAAATAATTTTTGAAAGATTCAAGGTCAGTTAAAAGGTCAGAGTCAGTCACAAGTGCAGAACTAGTCACCATTCTGACAATAATGCTTATTTGAAAGTCCAGAACTCTGGCTGGGACTCCCAAAGTCAATAATAAACAAAAAACATGTCCATACACATGCTTTGGAGAGCAGAATGCTTTCCTGAGTGAACACTAGCTCCACATCCAATGGCTTTGGTCTTTCCTGTCTTTGACCCTGAGTTCTCTGGCTTCTGAACAGTCCAGGTCGGCCCCTTCCCTTTGCATGTGTGCTCACACAGACGTTCTGGACTTCAGTCTGGTGTTCTCCCATCTTAATCTCAAACCATTGTCCTTATGATGAAACTTGGAGGCAGAATGACTGAGAGAGACGAGCCTGGGCTTCATAGCAAGATTATCTCAAAAAACTTAAAATTAAAAATAAAGCAGACTAAACTGTGCTGGGTAGAATAAAATAACTTTTTTTTGAAAATGTGTAAAATGATAAGCTTGGAAATGACATGATTTCTTGCCAGTATGAGATCTGGGGAGTTAAAGTACCTGGAAAGAATTTGTAAGCAGAATCATTATCCTTTTAGGAAAAGGAAGTGGTAATTTTGTCTCACATTTTTTAAATTTACATTAAATTTTGCACACAAAAAAAAATTGTACATGGAAATGGAATAAAATAAAAATTTGATGCATGCATATATTGAATGTTGCCTAAATCAGATTAAGTATATTTTTCTCAACATCCATTACTCATCTGTGATGAGAAGTTTCAAAAATTCCTCTATAGCTTTGGGAATTTTTAGAATGACTTCAATGAGCATAGGAGTACAAATGTCTTCCACACAAGCTTATGTCATCTTATGACTGACAGGAAGATGGCTGGATTACATGGGAGTTCTATTCTTAACTTTTTGCTCATTTTTCCTCTGATATGAACTAAGATCACTGAAGACTTAGTCTTTGAAGAAATTATCCATTAATAATGGTTGTTCCTGTCTGGGTGTGGTGGCTCACACCTTTAATCCCAGCACTCAGGAGGCAGAGGAAGGTGAAAACCAAAATAATAATAATAATAATAATAATAATAATAATAATAATAATAATAGCTTCTCTGTTGGGATCTTCCAGTCCAACATCAAAGTCATAAACTCTGTTCCCAATATGAAACTCTAGAACAGAATTGAGCTGGATACCCAGGGCAACTTGAACCATTGTTCAAGGATGACATGTTTGCTGATCACATGTAAGGATCTGAGTTTTGTTTTATCTCCACCACTAAGAAAATAACAAACTTTGATGTTTTTGAGATCTATCCATATAGCTTTCCATAATTCCCCCAGTTTACATCCCCACAAATCATATGCAAGCAATATCTTTTTACTAGCATGTGGTGAAATTCTTGCCCTAAAATATTTATTCTGTGGTACACTAATTGTCAGGCACATCATTAATTTTAAATGCTTTCTCTGGCTCATTTTATTTCTCTATTCCCAACCACTACACTCTTCATTCTCTTCTAAATATCAAAAATTCCCTGTCCTTAACCTACACTCCTCATGTAACTTTTAAAGATGTAGAGGAAATATATATATATGCATATTTGTTTTATAGAAAGAGGGAGAAATGCATTATCAACAAATGAAAATCCTCGTGTAAGCAGTTATTACCTTTGCTTTATCTTGAATGCGATCCTCCTTCATTCGCTGTACAGAAGTTTTAAAAAAGCTTATAACATCTTTTGGAAACAAGCAGATATTTAACGCATCAAATATTGGAATAAGGAATGGAAAGAGTGCTAGAGGGGAAAGAAAAGAGAAACTGTGGTGAAAATACAAATTTTACCTGTGAGCGCGCTCAGGTTCCAGGCCACTGGCTGGGAAAGGGTGTGTCAATGTATGGCCACTGACATAGAAGTGATATCAATGGCACCTGCTGCATAGTTTCAGGGTTAAATCCCTTGACCTCTCACCCTTGACATGTTGGACTAAGGTCTTTTTGGATGAATCAGGCTTCAGTCCAGTTGCTGCAGTTAATCGTGATGTTCAAGAAAGAGCTTTCAAGCTGGAGAGATGGCTCAGTGGCTTAAGTGTTTGCCTTGCAAATGTGAGGCTCTGGGTTCAGTTCCCAGAACCCACGTTAAAAGCCAAGTTCAGTGCCTCAGGAATGGCAACATGAGAGGTGAAGACGGTGAATTCCTAGAAGCTTACTGGCTAGTGAAGCTTGGTGAAGTTCACCTACCTACTTGGTGAAGTTCCAGGCCAATAAGAGAGTCTGTCTCAAACAAAAGGTGGCAGATGCCTGAAGTTGTCCTCTGACCTCTGCATACTTATGCACACCCATATACTCCAGTGCACCTACCCACCCACCCATGAATACGACAAATGATGATGATGGTGATGATGATGATGATAACATTAACCAAAAACACAAAACCTTATAAGATAGAGACAAAACAATATCCAGAAGGGGATTTATGGGTATTGAGGAAAAACTGATGCCATATGACAATCCTTTATAGCATGCACCACTAAAAGAGAAGAAAAAACACACTTCAGGCGGAGAGAGTGGATACTACTGACTAAAGTGCAAACTAATAAAATAAAAAACATGGAGGAAATCAATGAAAACAAAAGATTCTTCTTTGAAAATGTCTTCAGAGTTGGCAAAACGTTAGCTGGGATTGTTCTAGAATTAGAGTGATGGCTCAGATTACTAGCATGCATAGTGAAGTGGGAGGAGAATAATGTTATGGAGAACACAAGGGCATATAAAGGAATCCCACTAGCAATTGAGGGACTAGGACAATAGCCTCAATTATACATCTTAGCCAGAATGTACAAATTCCTAGAAATACACAAATTGTAGAAACTGACTCAAAAAGAAATGCATACAATGCATAAATGACCGGTGACATAATGAGAAGTTATTTGTTGCAAAGCAAGCACACAGAGATCCATAGCATTCCTCACAATCTAGAGAAAGTGGAAAACTATGACAAGAGGAGATTATCATATCAATGTGTTCCAGGATAATACTTAATCTTACCTCCTCCTATCTAGTCTTAAGTACAGAATTTAAAGTGCTGCTGATTTAAAAAAAAAAATGCTATCCACAAGGAAAGCCTAAAACAAGAAGGTTTCGATGATTAACTTTGCTAAATATTTAAAGAAAATCATATGCCATTTCTTCCCAAATATGTCCAAAATATAGAAAGGACATGAAAACATCTCCAAAATTTTCCATAAGATGAATAGTACCCTAATACTGAGACCAGACAAATATCTCACAAGAAAAGAAATCTACAAACTAACATCACTTGTAAATGTGGTTGAAAGATTTTCAACACAATATTAGATACTAAATAGAGTGACTATAAGAAGAGTTATATTACACTAACTCGGTAGGATCCATCTCAAGGATGCTCTGCTGCATAACTGAGTATATCAATGCAAATGAAAATGAGCAAAACAGATGAACAGATGAAAAAAAACAGAAAAGCCAACACTCTTGTGATTAAAGACATGTCCTTAATTAGTTCAGCACATTATATTAGATATTACTATACAACTCAGGCCTCCCCCTGAGTATACATCAAAAAAACAACTGAAAACATGTTGAAACACAAACTTACATAATATTCATAGCAAGGCCAGGTAGTGGTGGCACACACCTTTAATCCCAGCACTTAGGAGGCAGAAGCGGGTGGATCTCTGAGAGTTCAAGGCCAGCCTGGTCTGCAAAGCGAATCCAGGACAGGCTCTAAAGCTACACAGAGAAGCCCTGTCTCAAAAAACAAAAACAAAAAGAATATTCCTAGCAGCACTGTTTCACAACAGCCAAAAAAGTCAAAACATTCCAAATATCCATCAGTCACAGACAGAACATGACATGTCCATAAGATGGAATATAATTCTGTCATAGAAGAAATGAAATGCTAATACACACTTAAGATGCATGAACCTTTAACACGTACTAATTTGAAAGCCAAATACAAAAGGTGACATCATACAGTTCTGTTTGTATGAAGTGTTCAGACCAGGCAAATCTGTGCAGTTGGAAAATAGACTTATTTGTTGCTTATGCCTGAGGGAGGTAAGGAGTTAGTCATTAAAAGTACAGTTTCTGAGATGACAAAAATGTTCCACAGCTGACAACAGTGATAACTGAAAATATTTTAAATATACTGAAAACCGTCTTTTGGCCTGTTTAAGTGGACTACTGACAACATATGCAGATTATATTTCACTACACTGTTACTTAAAAAGACAGAAAGAATGAAATGTTAGGTCACGTACTCACTATGAGGAACAATGGATCAAAGATATCAAATTTTAAGATCTTCTTTATTTTTTCCACAAAAGGATCCTGTGGATTGTTGAGGGAATCAACATTCACACCAAATGATGTGGCAGTGATCACATCCATGCTGTAGGCCCCAAAAATGCTGAGGACAGAGAGAAATGGAAATTAACAGCTACACCTCTTCCTACTCTGCCTAAGACACATAAGGTGTGAAATAGTAGTAAATTCATGTCCAGCCAAGATAATCAGAGTGCCACACAGAAACCCTTCCTATGATGCCCTTGTTCCAATCATACTCAATTGTGAGAAGTTTTTCAGGTGACAGTGTTGTACCTGTCTTTGTGCTGTGAGATGGCATGGATATTACGATGGTTAGTTTTAATTATCAAAATAATATAATCTAGAAATGCCTGGGAAGAAACTCTCAAGGAGGAATTGTTTATACCAAGCTGGACAGTCCTATGGGGTATTGCCTTGATTGTGTTAATGGATGTGGGAAAACATGATCCACGACAGCATTCCCTAGATGTGGTAGTTTGAATGTAATTGGCCCCCAATAAGCTCATAGGGAGTGACTCTATTAGGAGGTGTGGCTTTGTTGAAGTAGGTGAGGCCTTGTTGGAGGAAGTGTGTTACTGTGAGGGTGGGCTTTGAGGTCTCCTATGCTCAAGATTCCACCCAGTGTCCAAGTTCACTTCCTGTTGCCTGTGCAAGATGTAGAACTCTCAGCTACCTCGCTACCACCATATCTACCTGCATACCACCATGTCCCACCATGATGATAATGGACTGACTCTCTGAACTGTAAGCCACCCAATTAAATGTTTTCCTGTATAAGAGTCATTGTGGTCATGGCATCTCTTCACAGCAATGGAAACCCTAAGTCCTGAGCTTTGTAAGTGTGGGAAAGATAAGCTAAATATTAAGCCTATGTGTATTCGTTTTATGTTGTTCTTCACTGTGGATGTCAGTTCTCTCCCTCTACCATGTGGCTCCCAGGGATCTAACTCAGGTTATCACTTTGGTGGCAAGTGCCTTTACCCACTGAACTGTCTTGCTAGACCAAGGAAAGATTTACTATTTCATTGATAGTCTCAAAAAGTTTATGATGGAATATAAATTGTTTGACATTTTAACTTTCCTGGTACACACACACACAGCATCCTAGTATGCACCGAGTAGTTTCTCTATCCTTTTCCACTGAATCAACACTAACAAGTTTGTTTAGATAATGTCCCTTCTTTCTAAATTATCTTTTTTTTTCTAGAATTTCAAAAATGGCAATTGAGTAGACAACTTAATAATGGATCCTGTATACAGAGGTGAGACTTGTTCTCCATACGTTACCTTACCTTCTTATAGCTGACACCCCCTTGCAGGGTGGCCCATTATAGTCCTAATACTGCTACAAGGATGTCTCCAGTTTCCTCTGGTCTCAAACTTCAGTAGTAGTCTGAGCTGTTGTAATCAGTTGAAACACCACACAACTCACTTTTGACCTAACAATAGGAACTTCAACTCCACAGCTGGCAGTTATGGCATCTCCTAGCATTATTGTTATGGTTTGAATGTGCACTATTCCCCTAGAGGATCATGTATTTGAATACAGCTAGTGGCACTGTCTGGGAAAAAAATGTGGAAACTCAGAGGAAGAGCCTCATTAGAAGAAGCAGATCACTTTGGGCAAGTCTTGAGTCTCTATAGCCTGGCCATCCATCCTTCGCCCTGATCGTAGATGCAATGTGACCCACTAGCCTCCTGCTCATGCCACCATGTCTTCGTGCTGTGATATACTGTGTCCCCTAGAACTGTAAGCCAACGTAAAACCTCTCTTCCTTCGGTTGCTTTTGTCAAGGTCTTTTGTCACAGCAACAGAAAAATAACTCACACAACAACCCAGCCCCAACCATGCCAGTACTCACTCTTTCATGGAGATGGAATTCCCATTCTCTGATCCATGCCTCATGTTTCTCACCAACACATCTGCATACTGGTTAATGATGGGGAGCATCTATACACAAAACAAAACACCATCCATAGTGAGCTGAGGGGGCTCAGTTCCCAGTGGACACAGCTTTCCCAAGGACAAAGCAAGAAGTTCCATTAACACAAAGAGACATTCTTAGGAAGTTTCAACTCAGAGAAAAAAAAAAAAAAAAAGACAACAAGAAACCACCCTAAATGTCCCAAGAACAAACAAGCAGACTGCAACTGACAACAGGAGAAAACCAAAAACAACAGAAACCCTCCACCGAAAAACCAAAAAAAAAAAAAAAAAAAAAAAAAAAACAATTAAACAAGAACAGAGATAGGGAGCGCAGACACCAAAATTCAAGAACGACCAAAGACCGAGAACCCAAAGCAAAACACAGGAGACCCCAAATACAGAGAAAGAACAGCCAGCCTGCGCGCAAAAGGTAAAAGACAGCACCCACAAACAAAGCAAATACAACAAAGTCATTAAACGGCACACCAAATGTCCGTTTCAAACACCCCACGCTACCAGCCAAAATGCAAAGAAAGGAGCGGAAGGCAAGTGAGCACCTCGGCCAAAGGTAAGCCGAAGCTGATGGACAAAGCAAGATGCAGGCATAGAAACAAAAACCCAAAAGCTAAAAATAATAAAAGAACAAAAAACAGAACGAAAAAATTGAACTACAGAGGGCGAAAGCAAAGTCACAAAAGCAGCACATAAAAATAAGCCAAACCACGGAAGAAGAAAGCTGATCTCCCCAAAAAGCAAAGCAACACCCAAAAGGCTGGGCAACACTGCACGAGACAACCCAGAGATCAAAACAACTGAAGAAAAATAAAATAAAAATAAACAGAAAAAAAAAACCTGCCTACTTTGTACCAAAATAATGTCAAGAAAGACAACCCACGGAGGACAGAAACAAACATCCCAAACAAAAAAAAGAAACAACTCACAAAAATTAAAGAACACAACAAAGGGACGCAAATACAAAAAGACATGAAATACAAAAGCAAGACCACAAGCATGACAAAGAAAATCAAACAAGGTAAATAAAAAGCTAACAAAATATAACAAAAGCAAGAAAAATCCCAAGTAAAAAAAGCAACAAAAAGGTGAAGAACCCAAAAAACCCAAAAAAGGCACACAGAAAAAAAACCGGTAGCAGAGATAACTCACAGGGCAGGAACGAAAAGACCTTAAGCACGAAGACCCCACCTCCCATCTACAACAGCCACAGCACAAAAAAAATCAGGGCAAGGGGCGCACAGAACTCACTGCTGGCAAAACCCAGACAGGCAGAGACCAAAACCACACTCACCCAAAAGACAAACCAAAACAGAACAGGAGAAAAAATAAAACCACCCAGGCCACAAGCCAGCTGCACAAACGCAAAAAAAACAACAAAAAACACTCAAACAACGCCAACAAACACAAAATGCAGAAGACAAAAAAAACGGGCCACAGACACCCACACACAAACACAAACAAACACAAACACACAAACACAACGGACAATTACTCAGCCAAAAAGAAGAAAAAAAAGACACCATGTACAGAAAAAAAGAAGGAACCAAACACCAAATGAAAAGAAAAAAAAGGCAGAAACAACAAAACCAACGAACACCGCAGACAAGACCATTGTGCCTGAAACGAAGTGCAAACAACAAAACATGACAAGGACGGAAAAGAAGAGGAAGCACTTAAGATTCAGCAAAAGGGCACAGGGAGGGACTGGGACCCCACACAGAGGAATATACCAACCACTGCCCACACCCCATGAAAAGCCTCAATGACAAGGACAAAGAAAGGCGCCTGGAGCAGGGCAGGAAAAACCGAAGAGAGGAGAAGGAAAAAAAGCGGGAGAAACGAGAAGAACGGAAAATGAATGAAAAAAAACCTAAGGAAAAAAAAAAAACACCTCCGGCCCCCACAGAGCACTGAAGAGCCCACCAGCACACACAACAAACGACACACAAAGACAAGCAACTACCCCTCTAAACAATAGGTGCCCCCTACGCACCGACATAGACACCAACAAACAGATAAACATCCACACATGCACAAAAACACAGACAAACATATAAAAGAAACAACAAAGCCTAAAAAAGTAACAACAAACCAAGATGAGCCAAACAACAAACAGACGCCAAGCCTGAAGAAACGAAACAGAAAATCATCGCCAACAAAAAAGAAAAAACAAAAAATGTAGCACAACGCAAAGAGACAAGGATGGCAAAAACGCAGGCCCAAGGAACAGGGCGGGAACGAGACTAGGGATGGCAAAACAGAAAGGCAACAACAAACATACACACCGGGACACACCCTTGGACACACATCCAACAAAATAAACAAATCAAAGATCAGGACGGAAGAAAAACCAACCAGGACAAAAACCCACCATCAAAAAAACAGACCAAAGGGACAGAAAAGGAAAAGATCACCAACCAGACAAACAACATGAAAAACACAGGGACCACTGCTAGGGACCGCGGCCCAATGCCCGAAGAAAAAAGAAGGATGACAAGAAAAAAAACAAACATACAGCCAGCTGCTAGGGGCGCAAACCCCAAGCCCCAGCACTCAGGAAGCACAAGCACCCAACAAAAAGGGACCGAAAGAACAAAGCAACGACAGGGAAAGCCAGACCTCTGACACAGAAAAACCGGGTCGCAAAAAAAAAAACAGAAAGACCAGCCAAACAGAAAAACAAAGTCTCAAAAAAAAAAACCACCAGGACAGATGGCTCAGGGATTCCCACCCCAAACCAAAAACGGAACGAGCTCACAGAGCACTGAAGACAAGGGGTAATACACCAAAATATGGACTCATTTTCCATTCCACCTTTATTGGTCGAGCAGCTGCAAAGAACAAAGGCCGCATCTCCCGATA